CTTATTTCTCCTCTTCCTTCTACAAGTCGTGGCAGCAGTTCCAGGCTGACAGGGTTGCTATAGTAACCACCCAGTACGCACCAGTTGTCTCTGTGTAAAGATGTAATTATAGAGTAGAGACTCAGTGTCAGCATCATGGTCTGCACACACATGCACACACACTGAGGCCCACATGCACACACACCTGTATCCTCTCACTGTCAGGCCACTACACAGGTGGGACCAACCCCCGACTACACACCATTACAGTAAAGATGAGATCACCCCACATTACCCACTCACTGCTTCTACCAAGATAGCATCTAATATAAAACGTCAACATAGGGCCTATTGTAACTGTTCAACAGCATTATATATCTGAATGGAACTCATCAGGCGTATGTCTTTGGAATATAGACAGACCCCACACAAATACACACATAGACACACATACCCTAAGCCAGTGGTTTTGAACCCTCTCCCCGAGCACCCCCAGGCGTTTCACAATGTTGTTGTATCCCTAAACTAGCTCACCTGATTCAAGTAGTCAAGGGCTTCATAATTAGTTGAATCAGGTGTGCTATCTCTGGAATAACTAAAATACACGGAACGGCAGGGGATCCCCGAGGAGAGGTTTGAAAAGCCCTGCCCTAAGCGGCCGCTCACTGACCTGTAACCCAGCAGCCTGCGATACCAACACACTTTCTTTTTACTACCTCTCCTTTCATCCCCTCTGCTCCTCTGTCCTTTTCTCTCCTTTACTCCATTCTTTCTGTCCATCATTCTTCCACAAATGCTCCTCTACTCCTCTCCGCCTGCTCACCGTCCTGCACTTCTACAGACCTGCAACTAGTCTCCACTGATCTACAGGTACTGAGGGACACGCATACCTAGTAACACACACACACACACACTCACCAGGTAGTTGTTCTGATCATTGTGACAGGCAGCCGAGACCTGATACCAGTCACCTATACCGTGTGTGTGTGTGTGGTGTCAGATGGTCTGTGCCACTTAGCTAGGCTACATCACCCCCCTCTCAGTCGCCCCAAAGTCTATTCTGGGAACATTACGTCATTACGCAACCCTCATGACCCTGACCGTTGACCCCCAACCTGACAGGGACAACCTGAGGAGGCGTACTGTATGTGAGTGTGCTGTTTCAAGTGACAGATAATTTACAACATCACTTACACAGTGCGGATTACACAATTCCTTTTTTAGTTGTTTTTTTAAGACAGAATAAGAGTTTCTTCGACCGTTTTTTGTTACAGGAAACAGCAAAACACATCACCCAAACACGCACACACACACACACACACACACACACACAGAATACACATACACACACATATATTCACAGACAATGGCAGGAAAACTCCAAATACTGTAGACCGAAAGCACCAACATATTAAGCACAGGCATTAGGCACTCACAGACACACAGACCCCCCCCCCCCCCCCTCCCACCCACACCCACACACACATTGACCAGGGGTGGTCGAGACCAGGGAGAGGGTCAGGAAAAGGTTGTCATGATGGTAACCTCAAACTTCCTTCCCTCCCAGTTCATCTAAATACAGCATCTCTCTCTCCTCTCTCTCTCTCTCTCTCTCTCTCCTCTCTCTCTCTCTCTCTCTCTCTCTCTCTCTCTCTCTTTCTGACAGTGAGTGGGTGTATGTGAGAGCAGCTGCAGTGAGAACAGAGCGTAGCACACTATCAGATCCTATTAGATCAACTCCTCTCCTCACAGCACTGCTATGACACACACACACACACACCCCTACCAAAGCACTTTGAACACACAACCTGCTAGATCAGACTGTATGCCATATACAACACACACACTTAACTCAAATCCCTGTGAGACCTCACCACAAAGGAGAGGATGATGAGACAACAGAGAGAGGATAGGAGAGTCGTAAATTCTGTGAGACCTACCACAAAGAGGAGAGGAGAGGAGAAGTAATGAGAGGAGAGGAAGGAGGGAAGGAGAGGGAGGGAGAGAGATGAGAGAGAGAAGCTTGCTTTGTCAGCACGATTCCCTGGCAGATAAAAGATAATCCCATCTTTGACTCTTTCCTTATTTCTGCTAAATTAAACTAATGTACTGTTGGAGGGAGATAAGGAAACGCTGAGTCGAGATGAGGAGGACAAGATGCTACTGAAAGAGCAGACGTGTCCCCAATCTGTTGGTCTTCTTTAACCCTGTAATGTCTGACGTTTAATCATTGCAACATACACACAGACACATTTGCAAATACAAACACGCATTCACACAGACACACACGTAATAGCTGCCTGGACACCAGTGGAGAGGGAGGAGTAGGTGTTGGAGAGAGAGGATAACCTATGTGTGTGTGTGTGTGTGTGTGTGTGTGTGTGTGTGAGAGCTTCATCCTGCCTGTGCAGACAGGAAGCCTGGGCCTTTCCCTCTCCCTCCTCCCTCTTTCTATTTCTATCCCTCTCCCACCCTGCCTCTAACCACACACACTCACACACTCACACACACACACACACACACACACACACACACAAACAGCTCTCGTCTCTCCTTCATCACATCCACTTCATCCTCTGACAGGGAGGGTGTGTTCATGTATTCTTTCCCTTCAGCACACAGCCAGCCTGCTTCTGATACTCTCCTGTCCTCTCCTCCTCTTTCCTCTCTTCCTATCTTTGCTGGAAAATGATCATCTCTTTTCCCTGTTCCTGTCATTCTGGCCTGACACAACCTGTCTCCTCCCCTCTCCTCTCCTCTTATGCCTTCCTTTCTGGAATGTGTGTACGAGAGAGTAGAGGGAGAGGAGGAGAGCAGAGGGAGGGAGAGGAGGAGGAAGAGGTATCAGCCTCCGGGGAGGGTTAGGGTCCCAATAGAACAGATGCTCACCACTGCTGTCCTTCACCAGGAGCAGAGGGTGTGTGTGTGTGGTTCAAGCTGTCCTTCCCTTCACTCCTCTATTGGCCTAAATTACTTTTCCTTAGGCAGAGAGAGAGAGAGAGAGAGAGAGAGAGAGAGAGAGAGAGAGAGAGAGAGAGAGAGAGAGAGAGAGAGAGAGAAAGAGAGAGAGGAGAGAGAGAGAGAGAGAGAGAGAGAGAGAGAGAGGAGAGAGAGAGAGAGAGCTGTTAATGAAGTTAATTAATGCTGTGAATAATGTACAGGGTCCTGGGACATGTTCATACATGTTAACTATGAGGGTCAGTGGGTGGTTTGGCTCTGCACCTCAACCTCCAAACAGAATCCAAGCACTCGGGGGCTCAAGATCCTCTCTTCTCTCATCCTTCTCTCCGTTCTGCCTCTTTCATGCTACGGATGAAAAGAAGCAGCACATTCTTCCAAAAATCCTACCCAGCAATCCCCTCTCCTCTCAAAGAGGTCGGCAGGTCCAAAAACAGCTTTAATGGCATATCTCTCTGTCGCTCTCTCTCCCTCTCCCTCTGTCTATCTCTCTCTCTCTCTCTCTCTCTCTCCCTCTGTATCTCTCTCTCTTTCAGTGTGTGTGTACATGCCTGCCTGGGCATCAGTTCCAGAATTGTGGTAGTGAATGTGCCCACAGGATCCTCTCACCCTCTACTTCTCTCTCTCTCTGTTCTTCTCTCTTTCTCCCGCGTTCTCTCTTTCACACAGGGTCGTGACACCTCAACAATTACCCAGTGTGTGGGAGTGTGCGTTCGTGTGTGTGTGTGTGTGTCAGTGTGTGAGTATGTGTGTGTATGTTTATATGTGTGTGTGTGTGTGCACCAGTGAATGTGTCTGTGTGTACTGTGGGGGAAGTATCTGAAGCATACTGCTCTCCATGTATTTGACCTTTCATCAGCTCAGAATAGAACGACTAGCAGAAGAAAATGACTGAACTATTATATCAGAATAGAATACCAGCATTTAACTCTTTCATTCAAAGTCACTTGTGTCAAAGGTGCAATCTGTAGTTTTATTTCTGGTACAAAACATTGACCCAGGTGGGACTGAATGGAAAACTGTGCAAGGTTAACTGAGGCTGGAATATAAATTAGCTGGAGTAATGTTGAAATAGGGTTAGAGTAAGGTTTGAAAAGGGTTTGTATAAATAATGTTCAAACAGGGTTAGAATGAGGTTATAACAACATTGTATCACTGTTTAAACAAGAGTTAGATTGTATTAATGTTGTAATAGGGTTAGGCAAAGGTTATAATAAGGTTAGAGTTGAGTTGTAATAATGTTAGAATAGGATTAGACAGAGGTTAGGCTTGCATCTGAAGGAGTGGTGTCTCCTGGCTTCTGTCTCACCCTCATCCCCTCACTGCCTAATAGAATCAATCATTTACTAAATGAGGCTCTGCTACCTAGAGCAATCAGTGCACGCTGGAACAGAGCAGGGCAAACACACACACGCAAGACCTCCCAGACCACAGCTGGAGAGCAAGGGACATTCTATAATTACTGAGATCTGCAAAGAACTGTTCTGTTCTATCTCTGTGTGTTGTGTGCTGTGTGCTGTGTGCTGTGTGCTGTGTGCTGTGTGCTGTGTGCTGTGTGCTGTGTGCTGTGTGCTGTGTGCTGTGTGCTGTGTGTGTGTGTGTGTGCTGTGTGTGTGTGTTTGCGCAGAGAAAATTCACAAAGTGAAGCTTACATGTATCAGGACTATTGCAATTAACTCCCACACCTGTCTGGATGCTAGAATCACAGGCAGGCATTTTATTCTGTTTTTGTGTGTGTGTGTGTGTGTGTGTGTGTGTGTGTGTGTGTGTGTGTGTGTGTGTGTGTGTGTGTGTGTGTGTGTGTATGACTGGTAGGATTACAGACCACTGCAAGTCCCTCAGCACTCAGAGAGATGACTCTCAATTCAGAGCTAATGCCTTGCTTGCTCACACAGACACACACACACACACACACGCTCCACTCACACATAAACCCTGACACATTGGCACATCATGCACTAGGATGAGGATGTGAGAGGTGTGCATCACCACCTTTCCTCTCTCTGCCTCCCTCTCTCCTTTCTCTCTCCTCCCCCTCTCTTTCTCTCTCAGCCAGACGTGTGTCACAGTGATGGAGTCACTCTCAGCTCAGTGGGGCTGTCTGTGGCACTGCCAGATGGACTGGACAGAACAGAGAGAGAGAGAGAGAGAGAGAGGGGGGGGGGGGGGGGGGGGGTAGGTAGTTGTCTAGAGAGCTCTGACAGAAAAACAGCAGGTTTAACAGGCACACACTACACCTGTTCCTGTCTAGCCATCCACTCTGGGGCCTAGTGAATCCTGCTGAAGCTTGGGCCTGTAGTAGGGCCCCTCAGCCTGGTCTGCCTGGTGCTGGGTGATGTGAGGGGGGGGCCAGGACCCAGGCATCAGGAAAAGCCTCTTACAGCCAGACAGACCCCAAATAAGGAGAGACTGACTCCACAGCCTGAACATCCAATCCCCTTAATGCCTCATCACAATGCATTATGGGAGAAAAACACCAGCCGCCAGCCCCAACCCCGGCGCTGCTCTGCTCTGGAAAATGCCAGGAGACAGAGAGGCCTTTTAAAGGAATAATCTGTCCTCTACTCCTAAAACAGACATCCCCCCATTCCTCTCTTCACCACACAGATTAATACTGACGGTTACCTACGCACGTATTATCAGACACTGTGTGTGTCTGACCTGCCCCACAGACCTGCGCCACAGACCTGCCCCATCAAATAAAACACTGGCATGCACACACACACAACTCTCTCTCACACACACACACACATCTTAGTGTCAGACAACCAGAACAGGGTATTATAACCCACAAAGAGGAGGAAAGGGAGGAGGATGTGTCACACTCCTAATGTCCTGGTGTGTGTGTGTGTGTGTGTGTGTGTGTGTGTGTGTGTGTGTGTGTGTGTGTGTGTGTGTGTGTGTGTGTGTGTGTGTGTGTGTGTGTGTGTGTGTGTGTGTGTGTGTGTGTGTACATGCATGCATGCGATTGACGGATTAATGATTAAAACCCCCGTATACACACAGAACACCCAACCATCTCACATTCGCAGCTCAAACACACACCGTTCCAATGCCTTCAACACATTCACAGGCTGCCAAAAGTCCAGAAACTCAGCAGCTATCCACCTCCTCACACCAAACCAATCCACAGAGAACGATCAACTCCTTCTCTCCCTTAGTAATCATACGGTTCACATAAAGGGGCAATCGCCTGGGCCCTGATCTTAGAGCCCCTGTCTGTCTGTCTCATCATTTTGTCTGTCTGTCTGGTTGCTCCCTATACCCTCTGCCTGCTTTAGAAATACATGAGAAGTCACTGAATGAAGGGACAGAAGGACAGAGAGAGAGAGGAAGAGAAGGAGGGAGGGGACGAGGGAGATCATTGAAACAGGCCAGATAGAAGCAGACAGTTGGAAGCCCTCTCTTCCCCTGCACTAGACAGTCAACGTTCAGTGTGTTACCACTATGTATTCATCTGTATAAAACGATGGCGTCAGCAGCACGCTGTCTCTGCTGCATATGAATAAGTTAGAGAGGAAACGGAGGGGATGTACTTCCTCCCTGCTGTACAGCCCTCAGCTCAAAGCAGAGAGAGAGAGGTGAGAGGGGTTGTATGGCTCAAAGTCAGCCTTGAATAATAACATTCTGTCTTGTATTTCCCATGCACATACAGTGCATTCGGAAAGTATTCAGACCCCTTGACTTTTTCCACATTATGTTACGTTACAGCCTTATTCTAAAACAGATTTTTTTTTTATATTCTCATCAATCTACACACAATACTCCATAATGACAAAGAAAAAACAGGTTTTTAGAAATGTATGCAAATGTATTAAAAATAAAAAACAGAAATATCAGTATTCCGACCCTTTACTCAGTACTTTGTTGAAGCACCTTTGGCAGTGATTACAGCCTCAAGTCTTCTTGGGTATGACGCTACAAGCTTGGCACACCTGTATTTGGGGAGTTTCTCCTATTCTTCTCTGCAGATCCTCTCAAACTCTGTCAGGTTGGACGGGGAGCGTCGTTGCACAGGTATTTTCAGGTCTCTTTAGAGATGTTCAATCGGGTTCAAGTCTGGGCTCTGGCTGGGCCACTCAAGGACATTCAGAGACTTGTCACGAAGCCACTCATGCATTGTCTTGGCTGTGTGCTTAGGGTCGTTGTCCTGTTGGAATGTGAACCTTCACCCCAGTCTGAGGCTCTGAGCGCTCTGGAGCAGGTTTCATCAAGGATCTTTCTGTACTTTGCTCCGTTCATCTTTGCCTCGATCCTGACTAGTCTCCCAGTCCCTGCCGCTGAAAAACATCCCCACAGCATGATGCTGCCACCACCATGCTTCACACTAGGGATGGTGCCAGGTTTCCTCCAAACGAGACTCTTGGCATTCAGGCCAAAGAGTTCAATCTTGGTTTCATCAGACCAGAGAATCTTGTTTCTCATGGTCTGAGAGTCCTTTAGGTGCCTTTTGGCAAACTCCAAGCGGGCTGTCATGTGCCTTTTACTGAAGAGTGACGGCCTGATTGGTGGAGTGCTGCTGTAATGGTTGTCCTTCTGGAAGGTTCTCCCATCTCCACAGAGGAAGTCTGGATCTCTGTCAGAGTGACCATCAGGATTGCTCAGTTTGGCCAGGCTGCCAGCTCTAGGAGGAGTCTTGGTGGTTCCAAACTTCTTCCATTTAAGAATGATGGAGGCCACTGTGTTCTTGGGGACCTTCAATGCTTCAGACATTTTTTGGTACCCTTCCCCAGATCTGTGCCTTGACACAATCCTGTCTCGGAGCGCTACGGACAATTCCTTTGACCTCATGGCTTGTTTTTTTGCCCTGACATGCACTGTCAACTGTGGGAACTTATATATAGACAGGTGTGTGCCTTTCTAAATCATGTCCAATCAATTTAATTTACCACAGGTGGACTCCAATCAAGTTGTAGAAACATCTCAAGGATGATCAATAGAAACAGGATGGACCTGAGCTCAATTTCGAGTCTCATAGCAAAGGGTCTGATTACTTATGTAAATAAGGTACTTCTGTTTTTTATTTTTTATAAATGTGCCAACATTTCTAAAAACCTGTTTTAGCTTTGTCATTATGGGGTATTGTGTGGAGATTGATGAGGAAAATGTTTATTTAATCAATTTTAGAATAAGGTTATAACGTAAAAAAATTTTGGAAAAGGGGAAGGGGTCTGAATGCTTTCAGAATGCACTGTACACTACTAGGGCTCTTCCCAAGCACATCTGAAGGCACTGTATACCCATTGATTCTTGAAGACTATAACTTATAAATGCCTCATGAGCTCAGTTCAACTGCCGTACCCCATTAGAACCCAAAATATAAGCTTGTTTTACTCTGTTAGTAAACAACGTAAATGTAAACAAACATGGTTAAAACTATATTTTTGATATCATGGATGTCAGTCCTTGCATCCATAGCTATGCCTATGAATTTGAGAGTGGTTACATTTCTCCAGCCCCATCCCTTAGTTTTTTAGCAACACAGGGGCGGGGAAAACGCTTTGTTATTGTTTAAGTTAAGAATTCTAGCTTTAAGGTTTTGTCTCCTTAAAGTTGGTGGCAACTTAGTTGATATACAGTATGAAGCTATAGAGATGCAGTAGGCCTAGATTAGCCTGTAGGCTACGTCCTCTCTCCTCCGTGCTCTCTCTCCCCCTTTTGAAAAAAGTCAAAGGTAATCGAGGAGAGGCGACGAGGAGAGTGTGTGGACGAAAATGTGCTTGTATGAAATGAGAAGGTTCTTCTCCACTCGCGAGTCATTAAGCATATGACGTTTACAGGGGTGGATCCCAAAATAAATGTGTAAAGAGATCAAAATAAATGAAGTTAGTTGTGCAAGACATTTTATAGATACAAGGATAAGTAGCATATTGTTTTTAAATGTGTGCATGCTTTTCTCCTCTGACAATGCAACATCTGATTCAAAGGGGGTGTGGCAAATATCAAAACTCTTCCGTGGTAGGATACACTTGTGTTTCCTCGCCAAAAGGAGGCTATTGAGGAGGGGAGGACCGTCTTCCGTTTGCCTACTAATGAATTGACACACTCCTCGACCACTCGACCACTTATCGGTTTCCGGGTCATGGAGGAGAGAGGACGGAGTATGGACTTTTGCCCAAACAAGAAAAGGCCTATGACTCTCTCACTGAAAGCCATTAATATGCATGTTGAACTGTTTCATCGGTTTCAGTCGGGAGGATGAGAAAATGTGTCATCTGAACAATTCTACAATTAGAACTCTGATCGGCTGTTAAAAAATGCATGAGTCTCTTTCTGATGCCAAGTCCCAGGCTGAGTACTCTACTCTCTCACTGTGATAACTGATAAAACCCATACAGGCCTCCTGGAGAGTTTGACGCCAATATTTGAGTCTGGGTAATGGGTGTTGTGGCCTTTTCATGGCACTGGTTTAAGTATGGCAAACAGACCTGGCCCAATTCTGGACAGTAATACCAATAAATGGTAAACTGGGCCAAATAGATGTGGGCCGGATTTGGGCCGTAACAATTTTGCTGTCAGCATCTGTCTGTTCTGGTCAATTCAATGCTTCTTCCTTCAGTTACTGCAGGCAGGTCTCCAAGGAACTGTGACCAGGGCCCGTATCCACAAAGCATCTCAGAGTAGGAGTGTTGATCTAGGATCTGTCCATATAATTTTATTCATTATGATCTAAAAGGCTAAACTGATCCTAGATCAGCACTCCTATGATACGCTTTGTGGATAAGGGCCCAGATCAGAGTTGATGTTATTCCATCTTGTTCTGTTTCTCTCTGAGTGGTTGTTAATCTTCTCTCTGTTGTTGGGGTCCTGGTTGGAGATGAACACCATCTCTAATTGGGAGATGAAGTAAAAATGATTTATCCCACATGAGAGAGAAAGGCTTTGAACATCCTCCTCTGGGAGATAGGTTACCCCACATACAACACAGACAAACACACATGCGAACACATGCAAACACACACTCGAGTACACACACACATGCACAAGCGCAAACACACTTGCGAACACGCAGTCACTCACAGACCCACACACGCTGCAGTAATTTTTAGAGTTTTTATGGCAGATACATAAGTTAAAGAGAGTCTGTTTCAGTGAGAGTCAGTTGAAGAGTGTTGAGTGTGTGAAAGGGTTAATTGCACAGTATTTCCCATAAAGGGGCATGACACAATCATCTATTCACTCTCTCACACACACAGTGGTGTAAAGTACTTAAGTAAAAATACTTTAAAGTACTACTTAAGTAGTTTTTTGTACTTAAGTCGTTTTTTGGGGTATCTGTACTTTACTTTACTATTTATATTTTTGACTAAATTTACTTTTATTTCACTACATTCCTAAAGAAAATAATGTACTTTGTACTCCACACATTTTCCCTGACACTCAAAAGTACTCGTTACATTTTGAATGCTTAGCGGGACATGAAAATGGTCCAATTCACACACTTATCAAGTGAACATCCCTGGTCATCCCTACTGCCTTTGATCTGGCGGACTCATTAAATACACATTCTTTGTTTGTATATGTGTCACGATCGTTATAAACAGCGGACCAAGGCGCAGCGTGATATGCGTACATCTTTTATTAAGTACACACGCGAACAAAACAAACGATACGTGAAGTCCTAGGTTATACACCAAAACAAACCTTACGGAACAAGATCCCACAAATAACTAGTGCCAACAGGCTGCCTAAGTATGGTTCCCAATCAGAGACAACGAGAACCAGCTGCCTCTGATTGGGAACCACCCTGGCCAACATAGAAAACACGAACTAGAACAAAACATAGAAAATCACACATAGAAAATCCACACCCTGGCTCAACATATAAGAGTCCCCAGAGCCAGGGCGTGACAATATGATGTCTGAGTGATGGGAGTGTGCCCCTGACGATCCGTAAATAAATAAAAAACAAGAAAATGGTACCATTTGGTTTGCTTAATATAAGACATTTTAAATTATGTTTACTTTTACTTTTGATACTTAAGTATATTTTAGCAATTACATTTACTTTTGATACTTAAGTATATTTAAAACCAAATACTTTTAGACTTTTACTCAAATAGTATTTTACTGGGTGACTTTCACTTTTACTTGAGTCATTTTCTACTAAGGTATCTTTACTTTTACTCAAGTATGACAATTAGGTACTTTTTCCACCACTGCACACATACTGTACACACGCTGGATGTCTGAGGGATGTTTATTTATGCGTAGCAGACAGAGACGTCTCAGAATAAATGAAAGGACTCAGAGCTTTTTGGGAACACAGTCCTGTGTGACCACTCACTCAGCGGGAGTCAGCTCAATGTGGGGATACAACACACTAAGTACACTCTCTCTATTCTCACTTTTTCTATATATATATGTCTGTCTGTCTGTCTGTCTATCTATCTATCTATCTATCTATATCAATCAAATGTATTTATAAAGCTGATGTCAAAAAGTGCCTATACAGAAACCCAGACTAAAACCCCAAACAGCAAGAAATGCAGATGTAGAAGCATTGAGATCTATCTCACTATCTCTGTCTCTTACACTCTCTGTCCTTCACACACACAAATACCTACCTCATAGATACTCACCCTCACTCACTCACTACTCACTCACTCACTCACTCACTCACACATAGACACACAAACACACTCACTGCCTGATTACCACACTACACACTCTCCAGCTGTGGTCTGCCCCCTGAGGGCAGTGTCACCATTACAGACTGGTGAAGGGGATACATACAGTTGAACTCTGAAGTTTACATACACTTAGGTTGGAGTCATTAAAACTTGTTTTTCAACCACTCCACAAATTTCTTGTTAACAAACTATAGTTTTGGCAAGTCGGTTAGGACATCTACTTTGTGCATGACACAAGTCATTTTTCCAACGATTGTTTACAGACAGATTATTTCATTTATAATTCACTGTATCACAATTCCAGTGGGTCAGAAGTTTACATTCACTTAGTTGACTGTGCCTTTAAACAGCTTGGAAAATTCCAGAATATGATGGCATGGTTTTAGAAGCTTCTGATAGGCTAATTGACATCATTTGAGTCAATTGGAGGTGTACCTGTGGATGTATTTCAAGGCCTACCTTCAAACTCAGTGCCTCTTTGCTTGACATCATGGGAAAATCAAAAGAAATCAGCCAAGACCTCAGAAAAAAAATTGTAGACCTCCACAAGTCTGGTTCATCCTTGGGAGCAATTTCAAAATATTTTTGTAGAAATGTCCTCTGGTCTGATGAAACAAAAATAGAACTGTTTGGCCATAATGACCATCGTTGTGTTTGGAGGAAAAAGGGGAACGCTTGCAAGACGAAGAACACCATCCCAACCGTGAAGCACAGGGGTGGCAGCATCATGCTGTGGGGGTGCTTTGCTGCAGGAGGGACTGGTGCACTTCACAAAATAGATGGCATCATGAGGAAGGAAAATTATGTGGATATATTGAAGCAACATTTCAAGACATCAGTCAGGAAGTTAAAGCTTGGTCGCAAATGGGTCTTCCAAATGGACAATGACCCCAAGCATACTTCCAAAGTTCTGGCAAAATGGCTTAAGGACAACAAAGTCAGGGTATTGGAGTGGCCACCACAAAGCCCTGACCTCAATCCTATAGTGGGCAGAACTGAAAAAGCGTGTGCGAGCAAGGAGAACTACAAACCTGACTCAGTTACACAAGCTCTGTCAGGAGGAATGGGCCAAAATTCACCCAACTTATTGTGGGAAGCTTGTGAAAGGCTACCGGAAACGTTTGACCCAAATTAAACAATTAAAAGGCAATGCTACCAAATACTAATTGAGTGTATGTAAACTTCTGACCCACTGGGAATGTGATGAAAGAAATAAAAGCTGAAATAAATCATTCTCTCTACTATTATTCGGATATTTCACATTCTTAAAATAAATTACAGGTCTGAAAGGAGTCATTGTTTTACACACACACACACACACACACACAGAAACACACACACACACACTTAGAGCCTTGATGTTCAACAGTATCATTTCTCAGGTTTCTTTGAATCACACACATAGACCATGGTGAGCTTGGACTTCAAACAGACACAGGAGCTGCATGTAATCATGAGCATTAATTCACTATGGCTATTACAAATCAGAAGACAGACAGACAGACAGACTAAAGATTTTAACATCTCTCCACTCAAACCAAACGGCAAACAAATCATTAGGCGATATTGATTTGACCTCCAAAGCAAACCGTTTTCCAATACAAGAGGCAGACAGACAGACACACACACACACACACACTAGGCTATGCACGATCACACACACACACACGACACGCTCCATCTCTCACTAAATCAGAACGAAAGCTATAGCTTCCTGTGGGTTTTGTTGTTCATTAGCCAATTCCACAACCCCAGAAGCTGCCTGTCTCAAAAGGGGATCCGAGCTGGCATTCCGGAGAATAGCCAGCCCTACACACACGGCGGGAGAATACATACATCACGACGACAGAGCACACACACACACACAAACACACACACTGCCTGCAAATCAATAGAGCTAACCCCCTCTCCCCTCCCCCCTCCACACACGACAACACATAAAAAAACGACACAGAAAATACAACAATGCGCATTCGCACACACACTATGGACAGTAGGTCAGAATGCCAGTGTGCTACAGCCTATGCATGGTTCAGTCAGAGAGAAATAGCCTACTGTGATAGTTAACACAATTTAATAATGTAATAGTCTACCATATTAATAAAAATACAGGATTTCAGAGGACCGTATGTCGGAAATATGTGTGCTGTCAAATGCTCTCTCTCTCTATTTGTGTGTTCGATTGTGTTTTTGTCAATGTTTGTCAATAACAAACAGCCCAAGTGAATGTAAATGGGCAGAGAATGATCCACAGTCCTCTAACCCTATCTTCCTCTCTGCTGTCTAAATCCTCGTTTTTATCCAAATAGCGTTTAGCCCTTATTCCTGAAGGCTAGACTTCTACCGTTGACTCACCTATACGAAGTCTGTTTCCTAAAAGCCAGACCCTTTAATTTCTGCTCCAGCGTCTCCACCTCCATCTCGACGAGGCTACTGAACGTATCGCTGCCCCCCATGGCCTCCTCTTCGCCGCAGCCAGACTCGCTGTCCTCCCCAGCAGCTTCCAGCGCCGTCAGCCGGCCGCTGAATTTCCCGAGGGTGTGCTCCGCCTGGGACGGGCAGGGCTTGGCCAGGGGGTCCATGCTCATGCTGCGGCTGGCACTGGACCCCCTCTCCGCGGCTACTCCGGGAGACAGAGACGGTCTACGGTGGGTATCGCTGGAAGACAGTGTCCGTCCTTTTTATGGTCGTGGTTGTTGAAGGGACCCAAAGCGGCGGGGATTTGTGTTCGCCGCACGGTCGAGCACGCGCTGGTGATCGCGAACGGCTAGTGCGAGGTGACCGTCTGGAAATGGCAGCACGAGCTGCGGCGGCAACAACAAGAGTCCGCTCAACAGAACCTCACGAGGTGCAGCAGGCAGCATCCATCTCCGGCCCCCGACCAGGGCATTGTGGGATACTCCTGCTCCTCCTCACTCTGCTGCAGCATCATCACCATGGTAAAAGTAGGGCAAAGCAGGGGCAGACTGGGACAAGAATTCGGCCCTGGCATTTTATCCACACCAGCCAACATCACGGTGTCCACAGCCAACTAATTTCCCCCTGGTGTCACTTGTGCCACTAACTTTGTTGGTGGCACCAGCCCATAATTTGGTTAGACAATGTCATTCATAGTCCTTTATTAAGAAGTGCAATACATAAACTACTGAGGTATTCAATAAATAAGTTATTTCATCTAACACATCCAAGCAGGAATGCATGATTCAAGATATTTTGATGTGCAACCTAATCCAGTGATTGTCATGAATTTCGAGTTGACAATTAGACTACAGTTGCTATATTTTACTGTCAAAATTAAGATGACCAGAGTAGCTGTGCAAAAAAACAAAAAAAACTATGGCGTGGATGGAACTATATTAAACTATACAATTTCGCTAAAGTACTTTCAAATACTTGTATTATTTATAACACAGAAATCGACTTCACCTCTAGTAATTTTACAATCACCCAAGTTTGGTAGCCTATGCTGTTGGATGCACTTTCTAGCCATGGGCATAGTTGTTCATGCGGTGGTTACAACGTAACACTGATCAAACGTTCTCATAAAAGGTCTGCGGCGAAACCGCGGGAGCAAATGAGTTTGGTACAGGGATAGACATCATTTTTACATGCAAATATGATTGGATACAGCGTTTGATTATTTAAATATCTGCCTCAATTTAACTTCAGAGTTGCTTTTTTCTTTCTGAGGGCTAATCGGGGACAATTTCAGGGACAGCTCTAGCCGGGACAGGCCACTAAAATCGGGTATTGTCCCCAGAAATCAGGAACGACTGGTCACCCTAGTCAAAATAGGACCCCAGAATGTCCTCCTTTTTTCCAAAAGATATTAATTACATACATCTTTATGTGCAATAACTCATTCATAGGATAATTCATTTGGGGTCCAAAACCTGAGGAAGTGGGAAAAAAAACAAAACACATTAATTAGATCACTAACTCTAAATATAATACACACTGCTAGTAGTCATGTATTCATCCAACAGTACATTTTATGTCCTACCCATGAGACCTATAGGCCTATGCCCTCGCAATATCTGGTGCGTATTTCGCGCGCGCGCCGGTCCATATCATAAAACCATATCAAATATCTTGGTTGTAAAATAGTTGATATTGAGCTGAATATTGAGAAGTGATAAAATAAAATTACACTTACAGAAAGCTGAGACCATCCTCTCTTTGTCAGGAACAAGGGGACGAAGCTTCCAAACTGTGTTTTTTCCGCAATTGCATTTTTTAAATGTTATGCAATCAGAACATATTTGTCTTTCGAGCTGAAGGGAGATAGGAGAGTGGCATGCTACTCACAGCAGCAGGCCCCAGCAAGGGCACAGACACTTTCATTAGAGGAATCATGAGGAAAATATACTTTACTGTTTGACCAAATCATCGTTTTAGCCACCCCACATTTTTGGGGAGTGAGGTGATAGTGTAGAATGTACTCTTTCTACCTTTATAGGCCCCCTTTCAGTTTTTTACTGATCAGCCAAACGCTTATTATAGGTGAGTATACCAGAGATGTGTTTTTTTTATTTTTTTAAAGGCCCATGGGCCGCTGGCCATCACCTTGCTCATTGTTTTATTCTTATGTCCATTTCGACCAGCCACCCAACACAAAAATGGCTCAGCCCATCTGTCATTTGCCAGAATTGACATATCAGTTGCATCATTATAACCCAATATGGGAATGAATAGAGAAATGACCAATTAGTTGAGGAATGGAAAGCATGCTTTTGCTTTTATAGTAAATGTGACAAATTGCATCTGATTCTGTCTGTTTTTATGTGTTTATGTAAAACGGTTATTATCCAACCTCCCAACCATGATACTTTCATTCTAAGCAAATCACCCTATCTGAACATTTTTGCCTTAATACAATTAGGTTATTGTGATTTGAGGTATAAAGAGAATAATCAAGGCTGACACAGTTCTTTCACGGGCAGGGAGACAGACACAACATTTTACAAAACACACACACACAGAAATGTGCATATACGCACGCACGGTCACACACACACCAGTTGTGTCCACAGACCTGTTGTCCAGAGGCAGAGCTGTAATTTCTTTGACCATTGGAGTGTGGGTTAAAACAGCGATTCTCAACTGGCGAGTGTCTGATAAAAAATAAAAACAAACACTCCAGTCTGAACTGAAACAACTAAAACCAGGTAGAAAGTGTGTAGAAATCAGCAGAACTATTTGGTTGATTTTGCAGTCTCAAACCAGTGAGTTTAACATTCTTCATCAAGAATGTGCAAAATGGAATTATTGACAATGAAAAATGAGGGACTGTTGTTCCCTTGTCATATAATTAGAACATTTACTATCAATATAGTATTGTAAAAAAAATCCAGATTGCATTTTGGCAACAAAAAAAAAACATTTGCCATCCGAATATTGGATTGCGCCTGAGACAATCTGGTTCTATTTGGGTCCTGAGGCAAAACCAGTTGAGAACCACATTTGAATGGCTGGTGGCCAAACCTTTGGGATGGGCTTAGTACGACTTCTCACGCTTATGTCATTGACTGACACACGTTCACAGTGAGTGTATGCTTGCAGTCTCAAACACACAGTACATTTCTTCAATGACACTTCAAAGCAGGATAATCTTACACGGCAGTTGATGCTTTTACTACGGAAAATATTTATTTGTTTTAAGCAAAAACCAAAAAGGACTGAACCCATAAAGACAAAGATGGGTCCTGTGGAGGCAAAATGTGACTCTACAGTTTATATACAATAAACAAGAATAAAATGGACTCTTTGGGGACACAGTGAGTGGATTGACTGCAGGGTGCAGGCCAATGAAGAAAGCGCTTATGGTTCTATTCATCTGTGTGTATGTGTATGTGTGAGACAGTGTAGGTGGTAGAGACTATAACCTAGCAGAAACATCATCCTGGTTCATTACATGTCACAAGGCCACCATGGTGTTTGCTCCAGCAAGAAAGTAACTTAGTTCAGGAAACAACACATTCCCCACACACATTATCTGGTATAAAGTACTTTGTCATAATGCTGTATTATAAAGCTTGGTCGTCTCAACATACAACCATAGATTAACATCAGAGTAAAACGGTCAACATCGTTTTACTGACCTCACACATGTAGGCTGACGTTATTATGTTATTATTTATATTTACAAAAATAGGATTTGCTACGAAGACCTTTGGCTTTTGATAGATAATCATATTTAAGGACAGTGTGATATTCTGAATTCATCCTGACAACATCAATAGGAAACCAATATGGAAAGAAAAGAGCATTTGATATTATTACTGTGAAGACATCAGCAGGGTATTCAAAGAGCTACAGGGCCCACTCTCATAGCACCACCATCACATGAAGGGGAATATCACCATAGAAATACTGGAAAAAAATACCACTCACTCAAATATAACAGAGCATAATGCCTAAAGCAAAGCATGTCATAACATATATAAAGAAGTAAAACAAATAAAGGCTAAATAAAAACAAAGTATGAACACAAAAATATATCAAAAGGTGGTGTACTATTGGAATGGAATAAAAACACAATATAAAAGAACAACTACATACGATAAAATAATAAAGATATCCAAAAAGATTCTATAAATACAGAGAGCCTCCGTCTCCTGCTCCTGCAGAGGGAAGGTCAAAGGTCAGGGGTGAGGGGTCAGAGGTAGACCCTATGATGTCTCATTGACTGTCCTCTCCAGCTCTATGATTTTACTGCTGTCGTTCCCCCTCTGCTCCAGAGACCTGGGACAGAAGAGAGACTAACAAATAAGAAACTACAGTACTAAACTTTTACTGACATCAATACCCCAAATCCTGTCAAAAACAGTTTTTCTGTCTCAAACAGTCTCTGATATCATCGCCTGCCATAAGTGTGTGTGTGTGCGTGAGTACGTGTGTGTGTCTGTTACCTGTGCAGGTCTAATAGCAGGGGTTTCTGTGTATTCGTATCACTGCTGTTGCTGAAAGGTGGGCGTGTCTCAGCACTGTGTGACTCCTCTCCTTTCTGCTGCTTTTTCTCAGAGCGCCACACTGCCATGACAACTGTGGGCCTCTCCAATTGGTCAGGATAGTCCCCACCCAGACCCAGAAGGTGTGGCTCATCCAGCCCTCTCTCCTCATAGGACAGCAGGCTCCTGGACTTCACTGTGAAGGATCACGGGTAAAAAACATCACCTATCTGATCACATCATGTCCACGAAGGAGAAAGGCATGTCATTGAGTACCATCTTAATCTTTTACATCTTTCTTTGTTGAAATGTCTTTTGGTTTTTAGGGACGGTATAATCCTTTGATATGATCAAGTCTCCTACTAATGCAATCCTACAACCCTGTAACCCTCTTAACAAGATTTACAAATGAAGTCTTATGAAATGGATTAAACATAAAACTAACCCTACCAACAGTAAACCTTGCTCTGTACACATACTACATTCAGATTGTTCTAGGGCGGACTGCCAGCAACACTAATACTGGGCTCTGTGGCAAACAGGCTGTGTGTGGGAGGGAGAAGAGCGGTAGGGGGAGCAAAGATCAATCATCATAAAATGGCTGCATTGCTGTTTAATCATACTAATGATAGTCCCTCTGAATGGGAAATAATGAAATTCAAGTGTACACTCTTCCAGGAGGCCAGGCCAAAACACTCCAAAGGTGTGTGTGTGTGTGTGTGTGTATGACTGGTAGGATTACAGAACACTGCTAGTCCCTCAGCACTCAGAGATTCAGAGCTAATGCCTCACACACACACACGTCAAAAATATCAGCATTAATCCGTGAAACATGAATGTGCAATGTATGACTGTGTGTGTGTGCGTGCGTGTGTGTGTACACAGCACCTGTAGCAGTGTAAGACTCCTGCATGGCCATGTCTCTGGAGAGGCCAGTCTCTGTGATGGAGGAGCAGGGACCCAGGCTGGGGTAGAAACTCCCTAGGAACACAGCGAAACACAGCACCACCACCTAGACACACACACACACACACACACCTAATATATGTCATTAGGCGCCACAGTCAAGCATTTACATGAAAAGGACAAGATAGCCCACAACAGCTGACACACAGAGCATGCGGGAGTTATATAAAATGAAAAACAAAAGGGTATCCAATCAATATGAAACAAAAATGCTCGCGCACACACACACACACACAACGCACACGCAAGCACAAACACACACAGGGCTGAGCGTTGTGTTGGGGAGTCTCACCATGAGGCAGGAGGAGGTCTGGGTGCCAGTGACTTTGCAGGAGCGGGGAACCTTCCCTGCCACCACTGCCTGCAGAGAGAGCAGCTGTTGTATTAGAGTCCTAGGAAGAGGGGACGAGGGGACGAGGGGAGAGGGAGAAGAAGGTAAAGATGGGGTCAGAGCTTAGTCATAGACTCACTCACAAACACACACACCCTGCTGAAGACAAAACACACGCACTCATTCACACACACACACACACACTTCACTGGGCTAACATATGACTTCACAGACAATGTAACAGTGTGTGCATTCGTGCACACACACATAAAAAAAAAAAAACCTTAACGATCCGTTCGACTCAGTGAACTGTGTGCTAATTTTACAAGGTTGGATTAATAATGTAGGAAAGGATGAAGCACAAAACGTCCCCCAGAGCACTATGTAATGTATGTCTCTTACTTGTTGGTACACTCCAGATTCTCCACTTTCCTGCGCAGCTCGCTGTTCTCATTGGAGCAGTTCTCCACCCTGTGGACAAAGAGGGGAATTACAAGGTCAGTGACGGGTAGGCGTAATAAGTAGGGGAGACAATGCTTTGACAGCAGTTACTACTGTATGCCTGTAAAAGCACTTTGAGATTTGTGGATGAATTGTCATTGTCATAATAAAGTCATTATCTATATCATTGATAATGCGGCTAATTAATTACCAAAGAAATAGAAAAATCCATTTGATTTCTAATTGAATGAGCACATCATGAAAGACTCACTTCTTCTCCAGGGCGTCCATGTACTCTTTCTTCTTTCTGCGGCTCTCTTGAGCAGAGATCTGAAAGAAAGGATGTCGAAATTACGCCAAGCTATGGCTCACGGAAGTGAGTACAGTGACATCAATGTATCAATTTGAAGTGTGTTATTACATTTCTGGCACAGGAGGAAATAGAAAGCGATATATATATATATATATATATACACAGTGGCTTGCGAAAGTATTCACCTCCCTTGGCATTTTTCCTATTTTGTTGCCTTACAACCAGGAATTAAAATTGCTATTTTGGGGGGTTTGTATCATTAGATTTATACAACATGCCTACCACTTTGAAGATGCAAAATATTTTTGATTGTGAATCAAACAAGAAATAAGACAAAAAAACAAAAAACTTGAGCGTGCATAACTATTCACCCCCCCCCAAAGTCAATACTTTGTAGAGCCACCTCTTGCAGCAATTACAGCTGCAAGTCAATTGGGGTATGTCTCTGTAAGCTTGGCACATCTAGCCACTGGGATTTTGCCCATTATTCAAGGCAAAACTGCTCCAGCTCCTTCAAGTTGGATGGGTTCCGCTGGTGTACAGCAATCTTTAAGTCATACCACAGATTCTCAATTGGATTGAGGTCTGGGCTTTGACTTGGCCATTCCAATACATTTAAATGTTTCCCCTTAAACCACTCAAGCGTTTCTTTAGCAGTATGCTTAGAGTCATTGTCCTGCTGGAAGGTGAACCTCCGTCCCAGTCTCAAATCTCTGGATGACTGAAACAGGTTTCCCTCAAGAATTTCCCTGTATTTAGCGCCATCCATCATTCTTTCAATTCTGACCAGTTTCCCAGTCCCTGCCGATGAAAAACATCCCCACAGCATGATGCTGCCACCACCATGTAAAGCTGTCATCAAGGCAAAGGGTGGCTATTTGAAGAATCTCAAATATAAAATATATTTTTATTTGTTTAACACTTTTTTGGTTACTACATGATTCCATATGTGTTATGTAATAGTTTTGGTGTCTTCACTACTATTCTACAATGTAAAAAAATAGTAAAAATAAAGAAAAACCCTTGAATGAGTAGGTGTATCCAAACTTTTGACTGGTAGTGTGTCCAAACCTTCGGACACACCTACTCATTCAAGGGTTTTTCTTTATTTTGACTATGTTCTACATTGTAGAATAATAGTGAAGACATCAAAACTATTAAATAACACATATGGAATTCTTCCCACCTTGTTCTTTATCTTCCTACGTATCTTCTTCAGGGCTTTCTCCTCCGCCTTGGACAGGGGCAGCTTGGTGGGAACAGGATAACCCTCGGCAACCAGGGTTCTCCTCTCTTCCTCTGTCAGCAGGAGAGGGCCAGAGCCCTGCAGCTTCTACAGGGGGAGGAGGAGGAGGGGGGAAGAGGAGAGAGGAGGTGTCATAAGAGCCCATCTGATAAACTGACATACTGTATCTTATTTCAGTGACTTCCCTGTATCTGTTATCTGAATAGTTCCATTGCTCATTCCTTCCGTTTCTTGAGGTTGTCACTGATCTGACCAGGTTGGATTGGTGAACACAATAGGGTAATAACCTTGCATTAACTTATCCAATCTCTCTCAGATCAGTAATTACCTGAAGGAAGGTAGGAATGATTCATATTATGCCAATAGGGTCCCTGTATCTTTTCAGTGAATCCCTGGTCCCAGTCTGTGTTGTACTTACGTGTGGGGCGGTGAGAAGAGGGGAGTTGGAGAGGGAGGAGGGTGTGCGCAGAGACACCTTGAGGCCAGCCTGAGAGGGCGAAGGGCTAAGGGGAGAGGAGGGGGTGGAGGGGCTCTGGGGGGTGCTGGCATGTACCGGGCTCTGACTGCCATCTGAGTCACTGCTGTGGGAGGAGGGAGGGGTGGGGGGCATCTGCAGAGACTCCAGACCTGGTGAGGGGAAACACACACACAGGTTACACACTTACAAACATCTCTAGAGATCATCAACACTAACATTTACAGACCTTACACATTGGATTGTACTTAATGTCATCATCATCCATCAGTGGCCAGAACGGGTCCTCAGAGCAGCACAACACTGATCTGCCTGCATAGTAACTATACTGAACAAAAATATAAATGCAACATGCAACAACTTCAAAGATTTTACTGAGTTACAGTTCATATAAGGAAATCAGTCAAATTGAAATAAATTAATTAGCCCCTAATCTCTGGATTTCACATGACTGGGAATACAGATATGCATCTATTGGTCACAGATAACTTTTTTTTATTTTTAAGTAGGGGCGTGGATCAGAAAACCAGTCAGTATCTGGTGTGACCACCATTTGCCTCATGCAGCGCGACACATCTCCTTCGCATAGAGTTGATCAGCCTGTTGATTGTGGCCTGTGGAATGTTGTCCCACTCCTCTTCAATGGCTGTGTGAAGTTGCTGGATATTGGCTGGAACTGGAACATGCTGTCGTACACGGCGATCCAGAGCATCCCAAACACACTCAATAGGTGACTGTCTGGTGAATATGCAGGCAATGGAAGAACTGGGACATTTTCAGCTTCCAGGAATTGTGTACAGATCCTTGTGCATTATCATGTTGAAACATGAGGTGATGGCGGTGGATGAATGGCACGACAATGGGCCTCAGGATCTCATCACGGTCCATTAAAACTGCCATCAATAAAATGCAATTGTGTTCATTGTCCGTAGCTTATGCCTGCACATACCACAACCCCACCGCCACCATGGGGCACTCTGTTCACAACGTTGACATCAGCAAACCGCTCGCCCACACAATGCCATACACATTGGTCTGCAGTTGTGAGGCCGGTTGGATGTACTGCCAAATTCTCTAAAACAACGTTGGAGGCATCTTTTGGTAGAGAAATGAACATTCAGTTCTCTGGCAACAGCTCTGGTGGAAATTCCTGTAGTCAGCATGACAATTGCACGCTCCTTCAAAACTTGAGTCATCTGTGTTGTGTGACAAAACTGCACATTTAGAGTGGCTTTTTATTGTCCCCAGCACAAGGTGCACCTGTGTAATGATCATGCTGTTTAATCAGCTTCTTGATATGCCACACCTGTCAGGTGGATGGATTATCTTGGCAAAGGAGAACTGCTCACTAACAGGGATTTAAACAAATTTGTGCACAACATTTTTGTGCGTATGGAACATTTCTGGGATCTTTAATTTCAGCTCATGAAACATGGGACCAACACTTTACATGTTGCATTTGTATTTTTTATAATATTTTGTACATACCTATACATTGTCAAATACTTAAAGTGTGCTTGATTTATCTTCAAAATGTATCTTCAAAATGTATGCACGTATGGATAAAAGCGTCTGCTAAATGGCATTTATTATATTATTTAATGAGGTGGAAAGAGTTAGCACAGTATTTGACACGTGTATTTGACCCAGGACTACATACAGAGAGGTTATGAGTAGTGTGACAGTACGATATGGTGTGTGTCAGGTCTCACCTTCAGGAGACAAGTTGAGGAACTGGTCCACCTCATGAGGCTCCAGTTTGATCTGGATCTCACCAACCTCTTTCACCTAGACAATCAGACAGCAGAAATAGCCGTTACACGTGTGCATACATTTGTGTGTGTATTTTACATTTACATTTTAGTCGTTTAGCAGACGCTCTTATCCAGAGCGACTTACAGGAGCAATTAGGGTTAAGTGCCTTGCTCAAGGGCACATCGACAGATGTTTCACCTAGTCGGCTCGGGGATTAGAACCAGCGACCTTTCGGTTACTGGCACAACGCTCTTAACCACTAAGCTACCTGCCGCACTATTTGTGAGTGCATGTGGGCCTGTCTGCATGTGCTGTGATTCTAGACGTCTCCTTACCTTGCTGGCCTTGCCCTGTGTGGCCGTCTGTGGGTTGGGCTTGGGGCTAGGGTCGGGTGGGTCGGGGGCCTCAGTGATGTGGCCCTCGGGTGCTAGGGAGAGGGTTAGGGTGGGCAGCAAGGCTGGAGGGTCACACAGCAGCACCTCCATCTGTTCCTCCTGCTCCACGGGCCAATCCTCACCGTCTGACTCTGATAGAGAGAAAGAGACACGACACATCAGCATCAACACTGTCACTTAGATACTGCATGTACTGTTTGTGTATTGTGCGGCACTGAATGTACATATCTCCACATATCTCTGTATTGCCACCCTCTTTTGTTATTGATACCATAGATAGCCTACACATTACAATACGGCATGTTATCTACAACTGTCACTGAGGCCCAAAACCCTCCCCTCTTTCCTCACTCTGTCCTCCCCCTCTCCTCGTTTCTCTCCCCCGCTCACCTGCATCACTCCCCTGCTCCCCAGGCAGATGTGAGAGGGGCGACTGGGGCCGGGAGTCCCCACACAGGGAGTAGGAGTGCTCCGCCTGGATGTGGGGTGGCAGCGGAGAGGACGGGGTAAAATCCTCCCCCTCATCCATGGCCTCTCCTTCCCGGCCGGACAGGAAGGGGTCGCTCAGCAGCTGGCCCAGCAAAGCATCCTGGGAAAAGTCATCCAGGAGGTCTGTGAAGTGCTGTAAGAGGGTGAGAGGGGGGAGGAGGGGAGAGAGATATGGATGTTAATGATAGACTGACAAAAGACATGCGAAACACAGACTTGAGGGTAAGAGCACAGACAGACACAGACATGATACCATCTAGTCGTCACACCGTCTAGTTATTACACCATATACATTTACATTTTAGTCATTTAGCAGACGCTCTTATCCAGAGCGACTTACAGTTAGTGAGTGCATACATTATTTATTAATATTATTTTATTTATTTTTCATACTGGCCCCCCGTGGGAATCGAACCCACAACCCTGGCGTTGCAAACGCCATGCTCTACCAACTGAGCTACATCCCTGCCGGCCATTCCCTCCCCTACCCTGGACGACGCTGGGCCAATTGTGCGCCGCCCCATGGGTCTCCCGGTCGCGGCCGGCTACGACAGAGCATGGATTCGAACCAGGATCTCTAGTCATTATTATTATACAAAATACCTGTATCTGTAGCTAGTCTGTAATTATTGCCTATAAAGCTCTTTAATGGCTATCAGCACTTGCCTTTGAGGAAAAGCCCCCAAGGCCAGCAAAAAACAGCCAATCATAGAGCTGTAAAATCCCCTCTCCTCCAGTGACAATAGAAGGCTGATATCGCTCCCACCAATCAGAGCGGCCGTATCTCATCCTCCCATCTCTCAATGTGGTGAGACGTTTTGAGTAAAGGCCAAGACTGACAACCATCTTCTCCACTTCTCCTTTCTTTCTTCCTTCCATCCCCCCTTCCTACCCTCAGAACACTCCTCCATGCACATTCCTTCCCATCTTCCTTTCTTGATGTGACCTGAAAACTCTCATCTCTCATCACTGCTTGGGACAGGTTATGACAGGCCTCTCAACCTCAGCTGTTCAGGTGCTCCAATTTCCTTTCCTATCTCTGCCTTCTGCTTTTTAGATTCCCTACCTCTATGTCATCATGAGGACCTTTGGGTCAAAGAACTGCACTCAATAAACTGAGGGAGCCTTCAATGTGTGTGACGGTATTGCACCCTGCAATTCAAAGTCATTATCAGATGTGTGTATACTACTGTTGAACTATCTACCTCTATACCTCCTCCTGCTTTTCAGGTACTGCACTTCTATACCACTCTCTTTAACATGACCTACCTAATAACGCCTATCAGCCAGCTGGAACAGTAATAATGGTCTGACTAGGCAATATTCTTTGTAGCTAATAGCTACATTGAAACAGCTTGCCAGCTAGCATCAACAGCAGTTCATCTTGTCTTCTGTGAATCAATTTTAGAATAAGGCTGTAAGGTGTCTGAATACTTCCCGAATGCACTGTATATCTCCACATCCTCCTATCCTATACCCCCACTACTGTCTATCTCCATAGACATATGGCGACAGTGTGTGTGTGTGTGTGTGTGTGTGTGCGCGTGTCAGAGAGTGAGGTGATGCAGTACAGTAGGGAACAGTGTTACTGTAGAGCTGAGGAAAGGGGAGGCGGGAGGGAGTGATGTTTCAATGTATTGCTCATTAACAAAGACCCACAGAGACAACAACCTCCTTATGAAACAAAGGCCTTTTTACTCACACAAAATAAAGGCAACCTCAACAACTTCCACTGCTGCTTAAATGGAAAACAGTAGTATTTAACTTAATGTTTAAAACTAATAAGAAGAACACCAGACATGTACGCATGTTATTAAAACGAATAGGCCTACAGATTTCACAGTCATGCTAAGAAGCATTAACCGTTCTGGTTGTATTGCAGTGTGATGGAAACCACTGAGTCAGCCAAACAGTTACATTATTGTCCTGATTCCACCCCAAGTTCAGTTCAATGGAAGTACATGCATAACTAATAACCTTCACCTGCTCTAGACTAGAGTTCTGTCTCCGGGCAGAACTCACAGACCTGAGCCAATAGGAGTCTCTAAACTGCTAGAGCAGGGGATAGGAAGCATCTGGAGAACGTGTATTGATAGCATCTCAGAGAGTGGGCAGAGAAAACACTTCATGGATATAATTTAGTTGAAAAACAGAGAGCAACATTCAGAGGAAAAGGGTGGAATGACAAATAGGAAAAGGAAAGAGAACACCCCGGAGTGCACCCTGGAGAATGTGAAAGGAAGAAGGAGAGGGAGACGGAGAAAGAGAGAAAGAAAGAAAGAAAGAAAGAAAGAAAGAAAGAGCACAAGGAGAGAGGGAGCGCAAGGAGAGAAGGGTAGAGATGGCAGGAAGCCAGGCATGTGGGTTCAATTACAGTCTGATTCAGGCCAAGACAGAGAGACAGAGAGTGAGGGAGTGAGGGAGAAAGGAAAAGGGAGGCTGAGGGAATGAGACAAAACTGACCACTCGCCATTGGAATGTTCTTTCCACTCTTTTTCCGCTACTGACATTTTGTCCAGCTAGAAGGGAACTCAATAGAAATGCTAGTCTGTCCAGAGGGCCTACTACAGCAGAGTCAGAGGGACCTCTTTAACCAACTCTACATGCTAAATATCCAGTTATATACCCAGTTATACTCTAGTAGGTTTCCTATATGGCTCTACAGTATATACTCTAAGCCACCTCAGTCCTGTACACATTATTTAGGTACAAACAACCAATATACACATACAAACTACTGTTGTTTCCTTGTCTAGGAGTTCTGTGTGGTTTTGGTAGGAATAGATTTCAGGCATACCTTACTAAACCTAATAGGCCTGGTTCAGTGTTAAGTGTGTGTTCGATCTGTGGTGTTTGGGTAGTGGGTAGAGGAGTGGTGGTGTAGAGGAGTGTGTTAGCAGTAGTTGAACACATGGCTGGCGTTAAGTGGTAAAGAGGCCATGATTGGCAGAGTGGTGGTTAGAGAAGGAAGGGGAAGAGAGGGGGAAGAGAAGGGAGAGAGAGAGTAGGGGAGAGGGGAAGAGAGAGGAGAGAGAGGAGTAGAGAGAGGGAGGAGGGGAAGAGAAGGAGGGGAGAGGGGGAGAGAGAGGAGGGGAGAGGGGTGAGAGAGGAGGGAGAGGGAGGGAGAGGGGAGGAGAGAGGGAGGGAGTAGGGGGAGAGGGGGAGGAGGGGAGGGGAGAGAGGGGAGAGGAGAGGGGAGAGGGGAGAGAGAGGAGGGGGGAGAGAGAGGAGGAAGAGAGAGGGGGAGACGCAGGGGGGAGTGGGGGTAGAGAGAGGAGACGGAGAGGGGAAGAGAGGGAGGGGGAGGGGAGAGGGGGAGAAGGGGAGAGAGAGGAGGGGAGAGGGGGGGCGTAATAAAGTTTGTAATGAGAGGGTGAGGTGAGGGGCGAAGGTTATAGAAGAGAGGTGAGGTAAGAGAGGGTGAGGATAAAGGAGAAAGGACTGCTGGCTACGTCACACCAAATCACTAACCAACAGACAACTATTTACAATCCTATCACTGACGCTCACGTCTCCTAGCAATAGAACAGCCGTCCCCAGCGATTGTCACACAGGAAACTCTGGACCCTAACCAGGACAACCACCGACAGACACACCACTATCCATCATGTTTGTCCCGTGTCATCATGTGTTGTGTGACAGTTATGGTTTGGTGTGATGATGATGATGATGATTATGGTGAGTAAACTGTTGGGTGTTGACTAGCTTCAGAAGAGGAGGAGGAAGAAGAGGAGGAGAAGGGAGGAGAGGAATGGAGCTCTGTCAGTCTTCTATGGTGTTGGAGGTCTCTAGGGAGAGGTTAGACTCTGTAGAGGCCTACTGAACCACAACCCTCTCTCTCTCTCTGTCATTACCTTGGCTATTCTGGGACATAAAAGGGAGGAGGGGGCTGGGGCAGTGGGGTTGTGGTGGTGTGTGAGGCCTAGTAGTGCAGGGGGATGTGGGTCATTGGGTTGGGCTGGGCTGGGCTCCCTCTGGTCCAGAGGTGCTCCTGATGCTCCTGATGGGAGAGAATGCCTCTTTGTCTCAGGCCTGGCACAGAGGAAGCTGGGGTTGGGGATCTGGGGAGGGGGTGAGGGAAGGGTGAGGTAATGGGAGAGAGGTGTTGTTAGGGGTGTTTGGGTGAGTGGCTGTAACCTGACTCTCTGAATCCTTCTCCAGCTGGTAGACGAATGGTTTCTGCAGAGACACACACACACACACACACACACACACACACATTGGACAGAGTAGGGCCTACAGGGCTACTGTTGAAGTCGAGAGGGATGAGAAAAGTTCGAAATAATTTCTGTGGTGGTCTGTAATTTCTGACCCCTCAGGGCATAAGTGTGTGTGTTTGTGTGTGTTTAGGCAAAGAGAGGAAGTCAGTCAAGCATGGGGGAAGGGAAGAGGCGGAATTGATGATGCAATACCTTCCCCCGAAAAACATAAACCAGATGTGCACCGATAGAGGAAGAAATGACTCTCACACACACACAACCCACACACAAACACTGCCCACATGGGCCCAAGGGTCATCTCCCTCCTGTGTGTGTGCATGAGGCTGTACCTTGCCCTGGACTCTTCCTTGTGTACTGACTCACTGATAATGACACACACACACACACACACACACACAGAGACACACGGCACATGTGCATTTGCTTTGGATGCCTTCCATGTGCAACCTAGTCATGTAGCATTAGTCATTGCATCATAGCCAGCACGTCCCCGCTAACTCTAACCCCTAAGACTGATGGCTCAGATAGCAGGAAGGACAGAGTGTCTTCAACAGATGATCAACTCAAAACAACAATGATAAAGACTGAGGCCCTGTTCTGACTGTTGTAGTTGGCTGATATTGGCGTTATTCCCAGCAGGGATGAACACACTCCAGGCCTGGAGCTCCAGCTGTATCTGGGGGTTATCACGGGCTGACGGCAGGACAGAGGCCCAGAAACAGGGCTCAGACCGGGGGTTTGGTGGGGTTTCAGACTGGAGGAACCAACTGAAGTCAGGGTTGTGTTCCTATCCTTTGGACCAATGCAATGCTACGATCCAATCCCATGTTCAGGCTCCATGGAAACAGGATCGGGAGAGATTCTTTTTTTTTTTGCAGTATTTTTTGCAGTATTCTTCACATTTCAAAAGTTTGTGACCATTCGTTTCAACTAAACACGACTGCTATGTGACCCAGTTATCCCCTCTGGGCAGGGTGAAGGGTCAGAATGACCGATGAGACCCGCTGATTGGATAGGATTAGGTGGAGGAGAGGGGGAGGGGTTTGTCTGTAATTCCAGGATACTACTACCAGTGTGTGTGATGTTTAACCAGTGTGATGTGTTCACTCTCTACACACTGTGTGTTTCAGAAGATAATCACTAGAAGCAGTCGTGTGAACTGAGAAGGGGAAACTACTGCATGACAAAGGACATGGCTAAATTACATTACTAAAGGGTACATTCACACCACAGGTGGCTGGTGGCACCTTAATTGAAATGCTGGAACGGAATCTATGGAATGGCATCCAAACACATCAAACGCGTGGCTTCCATGTGTTTGATACCATTCCATTCACTCCATTCCATCAATTAGTATGAGCCGTCCCCCCCCTCACCGCCTCCTGTGATTGACACCCTATTGCCCATCTAGTGCACTACTTTTGACTACTTTTGAAAAGCAGTTCAATTTATGGGAAAGTGTGAATCCTATGTGGTTGGGGAGGGCAGTTGGATCTGAAAAAGAAGACTACAAAGTAGCAAAACAAGTAGATGAAAGTAGTCAAAATAGAATTTGTTGTTGTGGAACTTGAGATAATCTAAATGACTGAACATTGAGCTCATGAGTTGAACATCCTCGGGGTCAGAGTTCAGACAGTGACTCACTGTGTTATCAGACACACACACACACGACTGACAGTCAAGATCCGAGATGAAAAGAGGGAGGGAAGAAGGGAGAGACAGAGACAGAGACAGAGACAGAGAGACAAGAGGCTGGAAGATGACTAGTCTCTCGTTTTCTATTTCCCACTCTTTCTCTTCCTGTCTCCCATGGTTTCCTACCAAGGCAGCTTAAATCGAGTCCAGAACTCACACACCCCGCTTCAGTGACATTTCACTTTTTCCAGGCCTGCTCTGACACAGTGACCGGGTATGCAGTCACTCTGCCCCAATGACATCCTTCAACTGTTGATCAAGCGTTCTCTCTGTGTGAGTGTAGTGGGTTTGGTTAAATTGAGTCACAGTCCCCTTCAGCACGGGCTTGCAGTGAAAGGCTTACAAGCTTGCTGAGGTAAACAACTTGTTTAATCGTGCACTTATTAGGTTAGGTTTTGAAAGCACTCAATACATGTCTCTCTGGATAACATTGTCTAATTGGAAAATGATGTCAATGTAAAAATGCAGGGAGAGAGAAGGTTCAGAGGTGAAGGAGCTTTGTCTTTAGACTATGGGGCAGGAGCAGGCATGCTCACCCTGACTGTCCCTTCCCCCACCCTGCCTCTGAGGGAAGAGAGGAGGAAAAGTGGGTATAGAGGAGGAGAGATAGAGGAAGGAGTTGGTTATAGGGTTAAAAAGGGAGCAGGTGAGAGAGATGAAAGGGACAGAGGACATGGAGTTAACACTTGTGAACAGCCCAGGAAATGGGCTCCAAGTGAAAAAACGACTATTAAAACACAAACTACAGAGCCCTGACAAATGTCTGCTTCTATCCTAAACAGCTTGTTCTAAATTCTTCAGGGAATGTAGGGCTACACAGATATCAGTGGTAAGACGACACAGAGAGCAGGGAAATATGAGTAGAGAGTCACTGGATCATGTTGTAGAACTCTTGATTACTAAGCCAAACTCTCCCCTTTTAGGGCTGGGACACCATGACCTACTCTAAAGAGAAACATAGCCAACACCCAGTACACCACACCAGAGAGAGAAGAGAGCAGAGAGAAGAGAGAGCGAGAGAGACACACACAGATGGTACCAGTTAACAGCTAACCAGGGCCTCAAGCGAGGGAAAGAAAGAAAGGGTGAGTGTAAATGTAGCTGCGCTGTAGAGCGTGGAAGCTAAGCTTGCTGCTGTGGGTTAAGAGTAATGACCCCTCTCACACACACTAATTACAACATTACAGTAACTATGAATGTCTGGCTTCAGAACAGAAGAAAAGCTAAATGGAGTATGGAGGAAGACTTCACAGTGGAAGGGTTGGAGACACTCTGGTCAAAAGTAGTGCACTATAAAAAGGAAAAAAGGGTGCCATTTCCAAAGCAGACATGGTTAAAGAGCAGCCATTGCCATGGTTACATGACAGGAAGTTGAGTAGGGTACAGGTACCTTCCAGTACCAAGGATGGTTTCTCTTCAATAAGGATTTATGAAGTGTGAGGAAGAGGCACGCAACACAACACCATAACCAGGAAGGAGAATACCGCTGAAAAATGAGGTGTCATTGTTTGAGTTTTCCAAATATTTCCTTTTGTCTGAAGAACCAGAATGTCCAGTACAGCTTATTTAAGTGATAATACCAGAGAAGCCGGTGTTTGGAGGATATATTGGCATGGGTGTTGTTATACATTGGCAAACTGTGCCAATATCACTTTTATACAATGGGTTACCAACATATATTCAAATAATGATTCACATATTTTCATTAAAAACTGTATTTTGATTAATTTATTCATACTATTTCAACCTTCCACAAGATATAGTATGAAAATGTATGCACTCACTAACTGTAAGTCGCTCTGGATAAGATCTAAGGTTGCTACCCAAGCCGGCTGGTCGTTCGTTCTATCGGTTCGGTTGCCAGAGACTTGACCCCGTCGTTAAGTATTTTTGTTCTCTATCTATGGACGCAACGCAACCCAGTCGTTCGTTCTAAATGTTCCATTGCCTGGCTGGGAATGTTCTTATCCCTTGCTTGCTAGCTAACCAACTATGGCTAACTTACAGTCACGTCAAACAGTGCAGCCAGAATAGCAGCAAAGTAGCTGCATTTGCATTTAAGCGGTTTTCTAGAGACATTTATTTGGATACATCCATAACAATGACCTAATGATGCACGATTTTGCCTGGCATAGAAAATGTGCTCTCTCGTCAGGACACTTGTTCAGAGGAGCTAACCAACAACACAGCTAACACAATCACTTCAAACTGAAGCTGGAAAGACAGCAAAATAGCTGCACTTTGTTTCGTTTGACCTGTTTTCTATTGATAGTTCATTGTATATATCCATAAAAATGATGCTGATTCATGATTTCGACTGGCTGAGAAAAGCTGTCTGCCTGTCTGTCTCGTCCTGACTCCCGACACGTTCATTACTATGGGACAGCTGGAGATCGAATTTCAATATTGAAACAATGTTGCAAATCTCCGCTGTTGAAAACTAAATGTTAGTCTAAAAGAAATGTGAGATAATGTCTAGATGCTTTTTATAGTGGAGATCAAGTTTATAAATTGCCTGGCTGGGCTGATGAGACAGTGGATTACACAGTCAGATGGAACAGAGTAAATAGGCATTTTAACGTCATAGATTTAGCCGGCGGTAACTTGTGGAATAGACACTGGCTGGAATGCGGTTTTAACCAATCAGCATTCAGGATTAGAACCACCCGTTGTATAAAACAGAATAGCAACATGACATGAATGATACTGTATCTAAATATCTGCTGGAGATAAATATGATTTGTTCCTGATCACAAAGCCTATACCTGGGAGGACTGACTGACAGTGACATGCAGAGGGAGGGAAGAAAGGACTGTGGCACGACAGAAACACACCTACATATAAACACATGCACAGGGGTAGGGCTGGAACGGGTACAAACATACAAATACCACACACGTCAAAGCACATTATCATCACAGCCATCACAGAAAAAGCTGAATAACAGGCTGTCTAATATATGCAAAGGACACTGTACTTTACACACTCCCTTTCATATGAATGTTTCACACACACACTGAAAAACAGCACCAAATCAGTGCACGTCCTCTCCCACAGAAATGATCCTATCCTGAAATGAAGGAGTTGAGTGCGTGAGTGAAGGCAGTGAGTGAAAATATGGCCTTGTATGTGAGTGTGTATGTGTGCGAATGCGTTCACGCATGTGTGCCGTGTGTGTGTCCCAGACTGTGACCCTCTCTCCCAGCAGACATCACACAGACGGCCCTTTCAGCCAGAGAGAGAGAGAATAGAAAGAAGAGAGAGAGAAGAGAAGAGAGAAAGAAGAGAAGAGAGAGAGAGAACGGAGAGAGAGAAAGGAGAGAGAGAAAGAAGAGAGAGAAGAGGGAGAAAGAAGAGAAAGAGAGAGAAGAGAGAGAGAGTCGGTCTGTTATGAGGGTCCACAAAGGATCAGGCTGCCCTGCCCCAGTGGAGAACAGGCATCACTCTGTACACTCACACAGCATGAGAGAGCCCGCTCTGTTTGACTAGCAGGGTGTGCATGTGTGTGCGTGCTTCCTTCACAGGCATGTCCAACCTGCACATACAGTACTGAGAGAGAGAGAAAGAGGGCTCTATTAAAGTAAGACTGTCAACCTTACCCTCTATCTATCCCCTCCTAATACATCTCTGAGTTGATTGATGCACTGCACTGTACGTCCTCTGTTGATCAACTTTCTCAGAGAGACAATATTTGCATGACACCACAGGGGAGGTTTCAGTAACCTGTGGTGGGATAACCAAACCTGCATGTCAGGGTGATCCTGCTCCCTCTGGCTTCACTACACTCAACTCAGATCAGTTTAAACCAGTCATAGTGTTTCCACTGAACACTCCTAGACATAATGGTATATTATTTTGTCCACATGTTAATATATTACACAAAACATATCGATAAAGTATTGTTACTATTCAGACACAGAGGTACAATCTGTCCATTCATCCATTCAGGCCTCTCTCTGCTCCCTGACACCCCCTGTAGCTCTCTCTCTCACTCTTACTAAATATGAACAAACACAGAGGCATACCTGGCGGGTGGAAGACATGTTGGTTTTGGGCACATAGACCTTCTCCTGTGGGCGGCCGGTGGCTTCAGATTTATGAACCTTAGACCTGGGACTTCCTGTCATCAGAGGGCCTAGGCAGGGTGAGTTGAACTAGCAGAGCTGTTAATAGGCTTTCCATAGCTAATCACTACTATGACCTCACTGACTCAGTCGTGATAGGCTCATTCACCAAAGACGCCTTCTCTGTTCTCTTCAGTAGCTCTAACAGTACAGTCTGCGTCTCCATCATACACCCTTAGGAAAAAAGGTTCTATCTAGATCCTAAAAGGGTTATTCGGCTGTCCCCATAGGAGAACCCTTTGAAGAACCATTTTTGGTTCCAGTTAGAAGCCTTCTGGCTCCAGGTAGAACCCTTTTGGGTTCTATGTAGAACCCTTTCCACAGAGTTCTACATGGAACCAAAAAGGGTTCTACCTGGAACCATAAAAGGTTATCCTATGGGGACAACTGAAGAACCCTTTTGGAACCCTTTTTTCTAAGAGTGTAGCGATAAAACAATGTTCTCACTAGAGTTCTATCTCTACGGACTGCACAATGGCTCGATCTGTCGCTAGGCAGATTCAGGGCCAAGACTCCATAGACAAGACAACTCTGGAATTTCATCATCATCAACAAAAACTGTGCCTTACAAGGCTGCAAAACAGCCATAAATACCCTTTGGTCCAACCCATACAGAGAGAGATGTGCAGGGCTGATAGCATGATCGTGATAGTGTGTGAGAGAGGGTGCATGGTTAGCATATTTACTACTAATAAAGTCATAAAAGTGGAGAATTTAAGTTCCACAGAGAGAGATGTGAAAGAACGGTGAGGAAAAAAATTGGAACCTCACTTCAACTTCTATAATACCACGATGTACGCAGGAAAATACACACATGGATGATAATGACAGAGTATTATAAACCCATAGATTTATGAGGAGGTCCTAGAGAGTTCCTACTTTGATCGTCACACAAGACTGCTACGTGATTAGTTTATATAGAAAGTGGGTAGGCTGTCTGGAAAATATAAATGACGTTTGTACATGAACAGGAGAAGATAAATCATGTCTGGAAAATGTATCATAGAAACAAAGCAATCTTGCAGCTGTCTGATAAGAGATAGGCTAAACAATTGGATTTGGCGAATAAGACAAAAACAGGCCACAGGTGCCTGATAACGAACAACAACGTATTCTAGACGTTTGCGAAAACCGCACTGTAGTGCTTCCGAAATATTTGGCCAGAGATACATTTTCTCTGAGAACTCCTCTGTAAGTGAAAACCATATCAGTGTCTGTCATGAAGTCTAAATGAGCTTTTCTGCCTAAGTCTGCCAACAGTCCTTCCTATATGCTGCCTTTGCTACTGTAAGTGTTAGTATCATGCTGTTGTTTTTCTAAGGCCTGATCGGCCCTGGATATATAAAACATATATATGATAAAAATAACAGCTGATAGTCAGTCTGAAGGACAGTTGTTGCGGAGCGGAGATGTTATGACACCACCTCAAAACACTAGTTGTGTTATAGTGTTAAGAAACAAGAGTAATGTAGAACTGCATGAGGCATGAGTAGTGGAGAGGGCACCGTACAAATAGAATTAGTCCGGGATTCAATCAGATCGTGGTTTGTCAGCAATGTGACATTTTAAAGGTAATTTCTGATTGAGCTGACACATGCAGCGTTTACTGTGCATACAGTCTCCTCAACGTGGGAACATTGCCTTTAAAGGGTGCATTGCAGACAAGACGCGATTGGATTGAATTCCAGCCTTACTCATCTATAGAAATAGAATTACATAAAATGACTCATTCTATTTCAATGTAAAGCACAGACGTCTGTTCAACGCCCAGTCTTGATAACATTGATTCAACCATGATTTGTTTATGCCCAGTGGGAGGGAGATGCAGAGAGATGTGCCCTCCTCACTGATGGGAGATCCAGCATACACACGCACCAATCAGTAACAGGGGAGGTGAGAGCTCTGCTCTGCAGCTGAGAACAGTTTGCATTGTTGTGAGAAATGCAATGTCAACAAACCCCAGGGAGAGAAAGTGAGTGTGTGTGTAGGCTTCAAACCCAACCCAAGGAATGGAGAGGGGGGCATGGGAGACTTGAACAAAGACACTGCTCTGTTCTCATGCCATCTGAGAATATCAACCTTTCCTCCACACACACACAGCCTGCTACTCTCTCACAGAGGCTGTACAGTTTCTCCTCACATAGCCTGGGATTTACTATTCACACAGGCTGTATAGTTCTGCAGGTCTATGGACACAGTTCCCTGCTGTGGGTTAAGAACAATGGCTTTGCTGAGGGCACAACACTGGTGCATGTTATAGTGAAATGTGTGTTCTGGAGTTAGAGAACATGGGAACTGGGAAGGTGTAGATGGCAGAAGGGATGACTTGGTCCAATACACATAAATAACACCAGCATGGTGTGGATTCACTGTGGTTTTAAGTTTCCAGCTAGTATCCCTAATCTAGGGCATTGGAAGAAGACACACTAAATCGATACAGCCGAGAAAGTCTCAGACTAGTATAAGTGTCTGGTTCCCATCCTCTGAGCCAGCTGGATCCTTCATTCACGCTGTCACCCCAAACCGAATAATTGATAAATTAGCCCATCGACCTACCTCACTCGTTGGGTGGCTGTGTAGGGCAATAAATAGGCTAATCATAGTTTGCATTGCAAAAAGCACTGACTCAATTTAAATTCCAAACAAAATAAAAACTATTGATGGATGAATTTGATGGAAGGCATATTTTCACTCCCAGCCAAGTGAAACCTTAAGAACCTTGGTATGGTATTCAATAATAATAGAAGTGCTATTGACAAGTGTGGCAGTGCAATAAATGGTTCGTAGTGTATATATTTGCCTATCTATAACTTACTGTGCTGTATAAGACATGTTCGTTTTCTCCAGGCTCCGACAGCTCGCTGAGATTCCTATCCCAGTGTAAAAAGGACTCAGTACTGTCCAATATTTCCATCCTTGGCGATGCGACCGCACTGATTCACAATGTGTCGTTAGATGTCAGTTCCCTTGATGATGATACTTTGCAAATACACTCCTTCACACACTTTGCAACGATAAACCGCAGAATGTTACTTTTTACACTCAGTCCACGCAGTTGATTTAGCTCCAACGCTGTAATATACGCAGTAGTGCTGCCAACAAAGCAGTTGTCTCCCAATGACAATATTAAAGGAGGAAAATAGAGTTAGAGGAAGGCTGCCCCGTGTTGGTTCTTGTTTATTTTCTTGGCAGAGTTCTATGGACTTTTTCCTCCTCTTTTTCCTTGATGCAGTTTTCTACCCAACGCCCGAACAGCCAGACAGGCAGGAATGTGAGTGGGGGCGGGGACATGGGCGGGACGGGAGTAGCGACATATAATCAGACTAAAACACTGCAGTATTTGCGTTAAATATCCGTAGGTTGTGTCAAGATAAAGGGTAACATACAATGCAATGGATATACATTTAGCGCAACACCTACAATGTATGAAGACAATGTTCACATGAAACTTTGCAATAATTTCGGTCAGAAATTTGACAATTTTCCATTTCCACACTGAGAAGGCCCCGCTCCTGTCCATCTGCATCATACCAATCAAACGAGTCCTTATGTTCAGACCGTCTGTGACAGACAGGGTCTGCGATCAATCCAAAGCCTTTGAGCCCGAGTCTTTGATTGACAAGAGAATAAGCCAATTCAATAATATTAACATACTTTATGTAACAAATCAGAGAAAGACAATAATTATTCCTTCTATACACTGCCTCCAAGGAATGCAAATCAACCAATCAAGTTAAAGCTTGAGAAAATAAGTGCTCGAATAACCACTTTCTGCTGCAATAACTTCACTTTTTCTGCAACTCCAGAGTGGTCTGCCAATGAACAGGTCAAAGAGGACATTCTGCTAAGAAACTCACATAACATGAAATATATTCCACTAATGTGTGGATATTGAATTTAAGAGAGAGGCAAAAGTTCTGGGAAAAAAATGTATATTTCTATTCTCTCTATACACCAAGTCACTTGGCTCTGTCATATCCTCACATGGTCTCTCCTACCATTGCTACGCAGACGACACACAATAAATTGTCTCCTTTCCCCTTCTGATAACCAGGTGGCGAACCGCATCTTTGCATGTCTGGCAGACATATCAGTGTGGATGTCAGATCACCACCTCAAGCTGAACCTCGGCAAGATGGAGCTGCTCTTCCTCCCGGGGAAGGCCTGCCCGCTCCATGATCTCGCCATCACGGTTGACAACTCCATTGTGTCCTCCTCCCAGAGTGCAAATAACCTTGGCGTGACCCTGGACAACACCCTGTCGTTCTCCGCTAACATCAAAGCGGTGACCCAATCCTGCAGGTTCATGCTCTATAACATTCGCAGAGTACGACCCTACTTTACACAGAAAGCGGCACAGGTCCTAATCCAGGCACTTGTCATCTCCCGTCTAGATTACTGTAACTCGCTGTTGGCTGGGCTCTCTGCCTGTGCCATTACACCCCTACAATTTATCCAGAACACTGCAGCCCGTCTGGTGTTCAACCTTCCCAAGTTCTCTCATGTCACCCCACTCCTCCGCACACTCCACTGGCTTCCAGTTGAGGCTCGCATCTACTACAAGACCATGGTGCTTGCCTACAGAGCTGTGAGGGGAACGGCACCTCCTTACCTTCAGGCTCTGATCAGACCCTACACCCAAACGAGGGCACTACATTCATCCACCTCTGGCGTGCTAGCCCCCCTACCTCTACGGAAGCACAGTTCCCGCTCAGCCCAGTCAAAGCTATTCGCTGCTCTGGCACCCCAATGGTGGAACAAGCTCTCCCACGACGCCAGGACAGCGGAGTCACTGACCACCTTCCGGAGACACTTGAAACCCTAACTCTTTAAGGAATACCTAGAATAGTATAAAAATAATCCTTCTACCCCCTCTCCCCACCCCACATTAAAAAATAGAAAATTAAAAAAGTGGTTGTCCCACTGGCTATCATAAGTTGAATGCACCAATTTGTAAGTCGCTCTGGATAAGAGCGTCTGCTAAATGATGTAAATGTAATACATAAAAGTACATTAAACAACAGGAATACAAACTTTGCCCAGCCAGAATGGAGGTAAGAATCTTGTGATTTCAGGAAGAAAAAAATGTTTTTTTTTAAGGGGGAATAAAACTGAAATTAAACAAATCGATACAAGTTTCAATTTATCTTTGAAATAGAACAAAAATACATGCTGAGAAGAAAAGCGGTGGTATAACATTCAATATGAAACTGGCACATAATCATAGTTTTGGGTACAGCCTTATGTGGGTGAGAGTCAGTCACACATCACATATTTATTTTTCTCATCTATGATTTGGTTTCTCTGGGAAAACAACCCTAACTCCTCATCTTTAAGGCCTAATCCTTTTCATTCTGCTTTGAACCCCAGTTCCATCAGTAATACTCCACCAAGAGTAGAGCAAAGGGACGTAAACTATTATTATACAGTAGTAGCATAACAAAAATGTTGAGGGATGGAATAAATACATGTGAACAAATGTTTAGGCATTCCCTGATGCACTCAGAGAATTATAGAGGACTTTAGTGCCCATAAGCACGTTTTAGCATGGGCAGGGCCATTGAGGACTTCCACCATTTTTAAGTAGTCAACTGGGTGGGACTTCCTATGGGTTAAGGAAGGATCACATAATTCCATCCAGGTCATTAGGAGGGATCAGCCAATTAATTATACTCGTGAGAAAACATTCCATAACTGCAGGTGGCAGTAAATTGCCAACCTTGGCTTTTTACCTGTTCAAACAACACACTCCAGGTGGCAGTATGCACCCTTTCAGTTTGTTTACCAACTCATAGAAGTAGTATAAGAAGAAAATTGACTATTTCAAAATGGAGATGGCCTCAATGGTGCTGCCAGTGCGCTCACTGATGCCATAATGGGCCAGATAGTCCTCTGTCATTCTCTACAGCCAACAGAGAGGTGTTACACTGTGTTCTGTCCCATTTAGATAGCAGGCACACAGCTCCTTCCACAGTCAGTTAATATATAAACAATAGAGTAGCTATACAAAAAGAGTTTCAGTCTTCCTCCTAGATGAAGAGCACCACTTCCCTCATTGATCCTTCCCTCGAATGTTGTCGCTTAAGAATACAATGTTGTCTGTAGAAGGGAAAATAATCATTTTTTTTTATTGTTATGAAAATATCAAATGTATGTCTGTGAATGTGAAATGTGTCTGAGTGTGTGTTCCCCTCTCTCACCTGCAATGATGGTGGTAGCCTGGCGTTTGACGTTGTTCTTGTCTACGTACTCCCCGTAATCCAACTTCCCTTCCACCAGAACCCTCGACCTAGAGCAGGGGCACACAGAACCAAGGAATGTGTTACTGATATGTTTTCTGCAGATTGTTATAAGACCAGTTATCATCCGTGTGTTAACTGCAAAGACACTTCTAGAAATGAGTAGATAAGACAGAGAAATAGAAACTAAGTCTGAGAAATTGACAACCCACAGTATACAGGGCGACACAGAGTGAAAAATATGCATACCCTTTCTTGACATACTGGTAAGCCACATCCCTCAGACCAGGCTTGAAGACTGACACACGATGCCACGTCGTCTTCTGGCTGACATCTCCTGCGGGGGAGGTCTCCACGTCCCCAGAGCGCCACATCTCGTTGGTTGCCATGGAGAAGATGGTGACGGGGTTCCGTCCCTCCACCTGTCTCATGACAGGGTCCTGCCCCACGCGGCCCAGCAGCTGAACACGGTTAATCGCTGGGGGGGGGGGGGGGACAAAGAAGAGTGCACACATGTCAAAGCCACAGGGGAAGACATTAAGGAGTGCACACAGGTCAAAGCTATGGGGGAAGACAGAGGAGTGGACAGACATCAGCTGGTCTGGGTTGTTTGTGTTCAATAGATGAAAAAATCTGAGAAAGTGCCCTGACGGTCTACACTCACATCTCTCCAGGATCAGGCTGGTGTCTGTAGACTGGTGTCTGGCCAGCTGTCTGAAAATCTGCAGGGAAGAAGCATAATGACAGAACACTACAGTCAGCCAAGGAGTCACAGCCACAAAAGTTCAGTAGAGTAGTGATTAAGGGGGAACAGCTGGAGTATGTGTGTTGCACACTTACCTGTGCTGCTCCGTTTCTCAACATCCTCTCTGTTTGCTGGAAATACTTTATGACAGTAAAGTGGACAGACAGACTGTAAGAAAGAGTATCAGGTTGACGTCATCTCAAGATGAGGCTATGAGCATTAGTTAGAGCTTTAATCCCGTCTAACAGCCAGCAAGTTACATGGACACAATTGTCTTTCTTCTATAGTCACACCTGTCATATTTGGGTAGCTGTCCCAGTTGGTATCTAGCTATCATTCTTCAAATACCTAGCTAGCTACAATCAAAGACAATAATAGTAGCCTACCGACTCTTCTGCTTGAAATAGGTCTAGTATGGTTAGCTAACTACATTGTCTCCATAAAGATCAATTGCATCGCATTATAACCATGTGTAAATGGCTTGCTAACGTTACATTGTAACCTCTACTGATGTTACAGTCATGCCCCACTAGCTCGCTACATAAGTTGCAATGGGAGTGGATGGATAGATAATAATACGTCCTAGACATAAACGGCCATAAAAAGTACACTTGTCCTACAACTGCTAGAATGCTTGTTGTTTATCATCATATAAATCTAAGGACATACAGCAAGTTAATTAAACTTACATGATGCAGTAACATAAATCCTTCGGCACACGCTGCTTCCGGTCCGTCGCTAATATAGGTCCGTGATCCATTATAGAAGGCAATAGACAGTTCCGCTGATACTGTGGGCTGGATAAAATACTTTAAAATGACAATTTTTAAGTTGATGATAAAATATTATATATGTGCGGGACATTACATACTAACCTATAGGTTTTATTTCCAAATAGTATGGATGTTGTCTCCAGCGAAGCTGGGTGACACAAGATATAAACAATAAAGCTGGATAGTATCTTTATTTTAGGCCATTTAACAGGTTGAGTTCTAGAAAACCTTTGGTTACAATCCTCTGCTCAGAGAGTACTCAGATGATGATATACAATAAAATCTAAGTAAATGCATACAATTCTGAATCAAAACGAATAGATAATGTGTCTAAGTAAATACAGCACACAGGGTTTTACAAATCAGTAGGCCTGTATCATTTACTACAGTAATGGTACTCCTGAGTGGCGCAGTGGTCTAAGGCACTGCATCGCAGTGCTAACTGTGTCACTAGAGATCCTGGTTCGAATCCAGGCTCTGTCGCAGCCGGCCGCGACCGGGAGACTCATGGGCGGCGCACAATTGGCCCAGCGTCGTCCAGGGTAGGGGAGGGAATGGCCGGCCGGGATGTAGCTCAGTTGATAGAGCATGGCGTTTGCAACGCCAGGGTTGTGGGTTCGATTCCCACGGGGGGCCAGTATAAAAAAAAAATATGTATTCACTAACTGTAAGTCGCTCTGGATAAGAGCGTCTGCTAAATGACGTAAATGTAAAAATGTAAATGTAATAAGGTACATCTGTGGAACATGCCCTTTGCTCAAAAAGTGGCATTTTTATTAATTTCTAGTGTAGGCTGAATATCCTAGAAAGTGAGATGTGCAGTACCTTGATTAAATTCATTAATTGTATTACAACATATCACACCATTCTGACTGCCATTACATGACAATTAACCTGAGAACAAGGCCATGTGTAGGAGAGAAGAGAAGAGAGAGATGCCTCGCATTGTAACTCTCACCAGGTGTAAAGACATAAACACAAGTATGTACAGTATTGTACCCACACAGAAGTGAAACTTCCGAAACCACACACCACTCAAAGGCACACCTTCCCAGAGCAATGTCATGTCCCTATGTCTGTGAGAGAGTTTGATAGAGTATATGTACAATTGACCATCCTCTGTGACCCAAATCGTCCTTCGACGACTCAAATTAAGAAGAAATAGAGTGTGATTGTAGATGTATTCTCATATCTCACACGCACAGGGCCCACTTTGGGTCCCGACCAATAGTTTAAAAAACCTGATATACAGTATAATTCTAAAAACATATGAATCAAGGAAATGCATGTAGTGTATGTGGTCAGGACTTCTGTATGATAAGTCCCAGCAGTTGAGAGACGAGGCGTAGAGCAGGCTGGCTGATGGGGTAGTCGGGGGGCAACTTCTCCTCCACACAGGGCAGCTTCACATAATACCTGCAAGAGAATACCATACCAGATGGAAGATATATGCAATGACATTACCCTTGAGCTGGACAGTGCAGTACAGTGTATACAGTATATGCCATACCATTACCCTTGAGCTGAACAGTGCAGTATATGTACAGTATATACACTACCGTTCAAAAGTTTGGGGTCACTTAGAAATGTCCTTGTTTTCCATGAAAACATACATTAAATGAGTTTGAATAGGAAATATAGCAAAATGCATAGGAAATGTAGTCATTGACAAGGTTAGAAATAATGATTTTTAATTGAAATAATAATTGTGTCCTTCAAACTTTGCTTTTGTCAAAGAATCCTCCATTTGCAGCAATTACAGCCTTGCAGACCTTTGGCATTCTAGTTGTCAATTTGTTGAGGTAATCGGAAGAGATTTCACCCCATGCTTCCTGAAGCACCTCCCACAAGTTGGATTGGCTTGATGGGCACTTCTTACATACCATACGGTCAAGCTGCTCCCACAACAGCTCAATAGGATTGAGATCCAGTGACTGTGCTGGCCACTCCATTATAGACAGAATACCAGCTGACTGCTTCTTCCCTAAATAGTTCTTGCATAGTTTGGAGCTGTGCCTTGGGTCATTGTCCTGTTGTAGGAGGAAATTGGCTCCAATCAAGCGCCGTCCACAGGGTATGGCATGGCGTTGCAAAATGGAGTGATAGCCTTCCTTCTTCAAGATCCCTTTTTACCCTGTACAAATCTCCCACTTTACCATCACCAAAGCACCCCCAGACCATCACATTGCCTCCACCATGCTTGACAGATGGCATCAAGCACTCCTCCAGCATCTTTTCATTTTGTCTGCGTCTCACAAATGTTCTTCTTTGTGATCCGAAAACCTCAAACTTTGATTCGTCTGTCCATAACACCTTTTTCCAATCTTCCTCTGCCCAGTGTCTGTGTTCTTTTGCTCATCTTAATCTTTTCTTTTTATTGGCCAGTCTGAGATACAGTGGGGAGAACAAGTATTTGATACACTGCCGATTTTGCAGGTTTTCCTACTTACAAAGCACGTAGAGGTCTGTAATTTTTATCATAGGTACACTTCAACTGTGAGAGATGGAATCTAAAACAAAAATACAGAAAATCACATTGTATGATTTTTAAGTAATTCATTTGCATTTTATTGCATGACATAAGTATTTGATCATCTACCAACCAGTAAGAATTCCGGATCTCACAGACATGTTAGTTTTTCTTTAAGAAGCCCTCCTGTTCTCCACTCATTACCTGTATTAACTGCACCTGTTTGAACTCGTTACCTGTATAAAAGACACCTGTCCACACACTCAATCAAACAGACTCCAACCTCTCCACAATGGCCAAGACCAGAGAGCTGTGTAAGGACATCAGGGATAAAATTGTAGACCTGCACAAGGCTGGGATGGGCTACAGGACAATAGGCAAGCAGCTTGGTGAGAAGGTAACAACTGTTGGCGCAATTATTAGAAAATGGAAGAAGTTCAAGATGACGGTCAATCACCCTCGGTCTGGGGCTCCATGCAAGATCTCACCTCGTGGGGCATCAATGATCATGAGGAAGGTGAGGGATCAGCCCAGAACTACACGGCAGGACCTGGTCAATGACCTGAAGAGAGCTGGGACCACAGTCTCAAAGAAAACCATTAGTAACACACTACGCCGTCATGGATTAAAATCCTGCAGCGCACGCAAGGTCCCCCTGCTCAAGCCAGCGCATGTCCAGGCCCGTCTGAAGTTTGCCAATGACCACCTGGATGATCCAGAGGAGGAATGGGAGAAGGTCATGTGGTCTGATGAGACAAAAATATAGCTTTTTGGTCTAAACTCCACTCGCCGTGTTTGGAGGAAGAAGAAGGATGAGTACAACCCCAAGAACACCATCCCAACCGTGAAGCATGGAGGTGGAAACATCATTATTTGGGGATGCTTTTCTGCAAAGGGGACAGGACGACTGCACCGTATTGAGGGGAGGATGGATGGGGCCATGTATCGCGAGATCTTGGCCAACAACCTCCTTCCCTCAGTAAGAGCATTGGAGATGGGTCGTGGCTGGGTCTTCCAGCATGACAACGACCCGAAACACACAGCCAGGGCAACTAAGGAGTGGCTCCGTAAGAAGCATCTCAAGGTCCTGGAGTGGCCTAGCCAGTCTCCAGACCTGAACCCAATAGAAAATCTTTGGAGGGAGCTGAAAGTCCGTATTGCCCAGCAACAGCCCCGAAACCTGAAGGATCTGGAGAAGGTCTGTATGGCGGAGTGGGCCAAAATCCCTGCTGCAGTGTGTGCAAACCTGGTCAAGACCTACAGGAAACGTATGATCTCTGTAATTGCAAACAAAGGTTTCTGTACCAAATATTAAGTTCTGCTTTTCTGATGTATCAAATACTTATGTCATGCAATAAAATGCAAATTAATTACTTACAAATCATACAATGTGATTTTCTGGATTTTTATTTTAGATTCCGTCTCTCACAGTTGAAGTGTACCTATGATAAAAATTACAGACCTCTACATGCTTTGTAAGTAGGAAAACCTGCAAAATCGGCAGTGTATCAAATACTTGTTCTCCCCACTGTATGGCTTTTTCTTTGCAACTCTGCCTAGAAGGTCAGCATCCCGGATTTGCCTCTTCACTGTTGACGTTGAGACTGGTGTTTTGCGGGTACTATTTAATGAAGCTGCCAGTTGAGGACCTGTGAGGCGTCTGTTTCTCAAACTAGACACTCTAATGTATTTGTCCTCTTGCTCAGTTGTGCACCGGGGCCTCCCACTCCTCTTTCTATTCTGGTTAGAGCCAGTTTGCGCTGTTCTGTGAAGGGAGTAGCACACAGCGTTGTATGAGATCTTCAGTTTCTTGGCAATTTCTCGCATGGAATAGCCTTCATTTCTCAGAACAAGAGTAGACTGACGAGTTTCCGAAGAAAGTTATTTGTTTCTGGCCATTTTGATTCTGTAATCGAACCCACAATTGCTGATGCTCCAGATACTCAACTAGTCTCAAGAAGGCCAGGTTTTATTGCTTCTTTAATCAGCACAACAGTTTTCAACTGTGCTTACATCATTGCAAAAGGGTTTTCTAATGATCAATTAGCCTTTTAAAATAATAAACTTGGATTAGCAAACACAACGTGCCATTGGAACACAGGACTGATGGTTGCTGATAATGGGCCTCTGTACGCCTATGTAGATATTCCATAAAAAATCAGCCGTTTCCAGCTACAATAGCGATTTACAACATTAACAATGTCTACACTGTATTTCTGATCAATTTGATGTTATTTAAATGGACAAAAAATATGCTTTTCTTTCAAAAACAAGGACATTTCTAAGTCACCCCAAACTTTTGA